CGTGGGCGCCCGCTGCCTCCGCTGAGCGCGACCCGAGAGAGCCGACGTCTGCGCAGCGAGGAACCCCCTCCGCCTCACGTCTCGCCCCGCTGGCCGCCGGCCCCTTTATAAAAGCAGGCGGAACTTCCAGTTCGTGCCTGAGCGCGTGGCGGGGAGGCGCGGCTCTCACTGAGACCGCGGCGGGCGGCGCAGCGCCGCTCCAGCCCCGAGGAACCGCGACGGGAACAGGTGAGGAGCGAGCGGGCCGGTGTGACGGCAGCCTGCGGGCTCGGGAGCTCTCCGACGCTCCTCTGAGGCACAGCACGGTGAGTGGGACGGCTGCAGGCAGCGCCCGGACCGCCCTCAGCTCGGCCCGGCGGAGGGGCAAATGCTGTGGCTGTGGGGAGTCGCGCCTGGGTCCCTGAAACCTGGCTCGGTCCCGGCAGCTCCCCGGGGCTGTGGGGGAAACTTTGGCTCTGTTTGTAATTTGTTAACTAGAAGTCGTTTCTTACGTGCTGTTAAATATCAGCGGGGGAGATCGGAGCTGTTACACGGACCGGGAGAGTTCAAGGAGTTAAGGTGAGTCACGGGTGCGCTGACGGCTTTGCGCTCCTTCAGTGGCTGAGCCCGTCTCTGACAGAGGGGAGAATCGCTGCCTTAATTGTAGTGGAATCGTTTTAGATCCCTGAACGCTGCTGTGAAAAGTTGTGTGCAACTGAGTGGGTGGGGCATACCAAGAAGATTTCGCTTTAACTTTGAATAAGTGAGGAATATCTTGCAATAACACCAATTCACAGCATCCTTTGCTATGTTCACGTAGTGAAAATACCTGTACATTATAACAGTGGGCGTTTTGCCCCTTAGCTTTGTGGTTATTTCCATTCTTACCTGTAACAAAATGCTGTCACCTGGTAATTAGAGTCATGGAATTGTTTGAGTTGGGAGGGACCCTTAAAGGCTGGTCCAACTCCCCTGCAGTGAGCAGGGGCACTGATAGCTGATCAGTATGCTTGCAGACCACGAAGCAAGGGGTACAGGACAAAAAAAAAAATTGCTAAAACTTCTAAGTTCCATTGGCTTTTCCCACTTTGATGGCAGCAGGACCTCTGTCAGAATAGGGATCTAGGTTATCACCACTTTGTACTTGCCTGTCAGACCTCAAGATAGGACTCAGCACAGATCCACAGCAGTACCTCACTACTTCTTGGTAACAAACCATCTTTGCCTTCAAAAATTCATTTTCATTCTACCAGGTGCCTTGTGCTTCTTCATCCCATTCTCCAGGACAATTTGTCTGTTTAAAAATAAAATTAATTTATCTACAGAAAGAATAAGTGTTTCTGGAATGCGATTTGCACAAGAACATTAGAAATTTGTGAATGTTCTGAAAGACCAGCTTATAATCTGCAGTTAAAGTCATGCAGTTCCTCATTCCTTGATGAGCTGTCCCAGCACCAGTCTTGCTCCTGTGGCTCTCCTCACATCTCAGTAACACATGCAGGTGTTCCTGGCATCACAGCTACTGAGATTAGAGCATGTGTAATCCCAATTTGTTTAATTATCAACTCAGCAAATCTTATGGGGAGTCTGCTTGAACTGTGACTTTCACAAGTATCTGTAAGTACTGTGCATTTTTGTTGGGTTATTGGGTTTTCTGTTGTTGTTATTTGTGTTTTTTTGGAGCAGTGTGTACCCTGTCTAGGTGTGTTTCCATTCAGCCAATGTCACTCTGGTCTTACAGAAGTCTGTCTAAACTTTGTTTCCACAATAGCAATTTTATGATGACATGTGGCCAATGACACATTCTCCTGTAAGGAGATTTCTGCAGATGAAATCATGGTTATGGTGCCTAGTTGTCAAGAATGTGTTCTGCATTATACTGTTCATTTACAGATATTTAACTCTTCTGGTGTTAACAGGACAGGTTCATGCAACATGTGCTGCATGTTTTGTGGTTACCTCTTCACCACTGTGAGGGCAAGAGATGCTTACAGATGGCTCTTGGTCTGTTCTCAGCTGGGCATGCATATCTGTGTAAATGCAGATACATGCCTATGGCCAGTGTAGATATGATGGAAGTAGTCAGCAGTAAATAATAAATAACCAATTTTTCTTCCAGTAGTGTATTCTGCATCCTGCATGTCTTTCGGTGCTTGCACCATCCCCCCACCATCCTATCCCTTAAGAGTACTTCTTGGAGGGCAGAAGGATCCAGGAAGGCTGGATGCTCCTCAGGAAGGAAACTGTAAAGATGCAGGAGTGGGCTGTCCCAGTGTGCTGTAAGATGAAGTGGTGGCTGAACAGGGAACTGAGGAGTTTACCTCCTGTGGGAGAAGGGACAGGCAACTCAGGGAGAGCACAGGGAAGTTGCTAAGTTATATGCAGGAAGAAAATCAGAAACGCTCATGCCCAGTATGAAGTCCAGTATCAACCTGGCCACTGTGGTAAAGGACAATGGAAAAATGTGTTTACGAATGCACCAATAGTTAAAGGACAGTGAGAATCTCCATCCTTTACTGAATGTGGTGGGGAACATGACCACTCAGGGTAAGGAAAAGGTTGAGGTTCTCAATGCCTGTTTTACACCTGACTTTAATAGTCAGAGTATCACCTGGGTACTCTACCCCTCTGACCTGGAAGTCTGAGGTGGGGAGCAGAATAAACCCCCTACAACTTAGGAGGTAACAGTCAGAGATCTGCTACTGCACCTGGACTGTCACAAGTCCATGGGGCCAGATGGGATCCATGCAAGGGTGCCATGGGAACTGGTGGAAGTGATTGCCAAGTTGCTTTCCATCGTCCATCAGTGATCCTTGTCTACTTGAGATGTCCCAGAGGACTGCAGACTTGCCAGTGTGATTCCTATCTGCGAGAAAGATCCTCCTTATGACCTAGGGAACTACAGGCCTGTCAGCCTGACATCTGTGCCAAGGAAGAATAAGGAACAGGTCATCTTGTGTAAGATTGCATGGCATGTGTTGGACAGCCAGGGGTTCAGGCCCAGCCAGCATGGCTTCATGAAAGATAGGTCCTAGTTGACCAGTCTCATCTTCTTCTCTGACCTGGTAGCCCACCTGGTGAATGAGGGAGAGGCTGTTAGGGTAGTCTACCTAGACTTCAGCAAAGCCTTTGATGCTGTCTGCCACAGTATTCTCTGGGAAAAGGTGGCAGCCCGTGGCTTGGACAGGTACACTCTTTTCTGGGTAAGGAACTTGCTTTGGGCCACGTCCAGAGAGTGGTGGTGAATGGAGTCCAATCCAGCTGGTGACTGGTCCTCAGTGGTGTTCCCCAGGGGCTGATATTGGGGCCCAACCGGCTTACAGTCTTTACTGATGATTTGGCTGAAGGAATTGAGTGCACCCTCGTAAGTTTGCAGATGACACCAAGTTGAGGGGAAGTGTCAATCTGCCTGATGGTAGGAATGCCCTACAGAGGGATCTGGACAGGCTGAATAGGTGGGCTGAGGCCAATGGGAGGAAGTTCAACAAGATCAAGTATTAGATTCTCCACTTTGGTCACAAACCCAGGCAATGCTACAGGCAGGGCAGAGTTGCAGGAAAGCTGTGCAGAGGAAAAGGACTTGGGGTGTTCATTGACGCTCAGCTGAACAAGAGCCAGCTGTGTGCCTATGTAGCCAAGGCCAATGTATTCTAGCTTGTATCAGAGCAGCCAGCAGGAGCAGGGAGGTGATTGTTCTCCTGTACTCTGCCCCGCTGAGGCTCCATCTCAAGTACTGTGTTCAGTTTTGGGTCCTTCACTACAAGAAAGACATGGAGGTTCTGGAGCATCTTCAGAGAAGGGCAGAGAAGCTCTCAGGGTTTCTGAAGCACAAGCCTTTCGAGGAGCAGCTGAGGGAACTGGGTTTGCTCAGTCTCAAGAAGAGGCTCAATGGAGACCTTATTCCCCTTCTACAGCTGCCTGCAAAGGAGGTTGTGGTGAGGTGGGGATCAGTGATAGGATGAGAGGTGATGACCTGAAACTGTGCTGGAGGAGGTTGGATATTAGGAAGAATTTCTTCTCCAAAAGAGGGGTTAGGTACCAGAATGGGCAGCCCAGGGAAGTGGTTGAATCACTGTCCCTTGGAGGTATTTAAGGAAAGGGTAGATACAGCACTTAGGGATGTGATTTAGTGGGCAGTATTGGTGATGGGTGGACATTCGGTCTAGATAATCCTAGCAGTCTTTTCCAACCTTAATCACAGAACTGATTCTATTGCTGCTATGGTTCTATGATCATAGCAGCATGCAAGCACCTCATCTTTTTTTGCAGCTCTTTGTTACAGCTGTCTGTTCATAGTGTGAATGAGTGAATGAGGCTCAATGCTTCTTCTGGCTGCTGCTGATCTCTGTTTAATTAAGAAAGTAGAAGTTATTTAGAAGTTGAGCTTTGAGTAACCTTAGCTTTGCTATGGCAAAATAGGGTCTTCCAGGTAGAAAACCTGCTCCAAACATTTAAACGCTACTGGCTTAGGCTAGCCTTACTCTACCCTTACTTAATTCATAGTTCAGTTGAAGTATATGCAGACAGCACCTGTAAGCAAGTGGTAGCATTTGGTCAGATAACAGAAGAACACTCTCATTTTCTTGCCAAATGGCTTATTCTCAACCCCTCCTGTGCCTGTTATTTAATGCTCTTCTAACCAAAGAATTTCTGCAGATGAAAAGACTCCTGTTAGTGCTGTGTACCTTCATGTAAGTAATGCATGCAGGTAGGTACCAAAAGATAAGTCTGAAAGAAATATAAAATCACTGGTGACTTACAGATATTTAAAAAATGAGGGGAGACTGTGTCAGAACTCCAGCATGTGTGCTATCTAGAAGATGTTTCTCTTTAACTTGTGTCCTGACACCTTGAATGCACCAGTTAATTGGACTGTTCTTTTTAATAATAGACTTGATGATAATCTTGATTGTTTTACACCTCAAAAATATGTATTTCATAATAATGGTTTGTACATCAATAAAAGCTGAGAGAGACAGTACTGCATCATGAAACTTCACTGTAATGGAATGAATCCTTAAAGCTGTTTCAGTCCAATTTGTTTTAAAATATAGTTTTATCAAGAAAAAGTTTTTTAAAAAGAACAAAATCCAATGAAAGAAAATGATATTATCACAGTGGCATCTCTGCTCTCACCAGTGATCAGCAGTGTGATATTTGCTCCATGAGGACAGAGAAATAAGCATGAAGCCCCTGCACTAACTGTTCTCACTGCAGCTGAGGAGCCGTGGCGTGTCACAGCTGGACAAAGGCACCTCTACCTATGGCAGGGGTGGAGATCTGAGGTAAGCGTGTATTTCAGCTGACTTTTATGTTGCTGTTTCTTGGACTTTTAGAACAAAAAAAAGTACATGGATACTGTCTTTCGACTTCAGAATTCAACATAAAACACCAGTTTTGAAGAAAAACAGAATGAAGTTACTACTTCTCAGCTATTCACCAGAATATTACTAATACTCCCTATGGATTAGTAATAAGTTTGTTCATTTCATTTGCAATTAAATTAATTTGGCATTTTTGTTTCTCTAGAAACAAATTGTAAATAAACAAATTTGTTTTCATATCCAATCTTGTTTTGAAATCATATTGCTCTGCCAGTTGTTAAATTCTGATTTTTTTTCTGTCTCTGAAGACTTTTCTCTAAACAGAAAGTAATTTAGAATCAAAGGCCATCTAGTCCATATCCCCTGCAATGAACAGGGGCACCTATAGCTCCGTCAGATGCTCGGAGCCCTGTACTGGCTAACCTGGAATGTCTTCAGGGACGGGGGGCATCTACCATCTCTCTGGGCAACCTGTTCCACTGCCTCACTACCCTCATTGTAAAAACAAGCAAACAAAAGAAGAACCCACAAACTTTTTCCTTATGTCCGACCTAAATCTGCTCTCTTTGAGTTTAAAACCATTTCCCCTTGCCCTACCACAGCTGACACCACTAAGGAGTCTGTCCCTTTCTTTCTTCTCTCCCCCTCCTTTAGATACTGGAAGGTCACTGTTAGGTCTCTCTGGAGTCTTCTCCAGGATGAACAGCCCCGTGCTCATAGGAGAGGTGTTCCATCATTTTTATAGCCCTCCTCTGAACGTGTTCCAACAGGTCCATGTCTCTCCTGTACTGAGAGCACAGTACTTCAGGTGAGGTCTCACCAGCACAGAGCACAGGGACAGGCTCACCTTCCTCGTGGTGCTGGCCATGCCACTTTTGATGCAGCCCAGGATACCAGGAAAGCCCAGGTTGGCTTTCTGGGCTGTGAGGGAACATTGCCTGACCATGTCCAGCTTGCCATCCATCAGTACCCCCAGGTCCTTTTTGGCACTATCATTTATTTTTGTTCTCTATCCTTCCATCCCCCAGCTTGTACTTACACTGGGGGTTGCCACGACCCACAGGCAGTACCTTGCACATGGATCTGTTGAACCTCATGAAGTTCTTCTTGGCCCCCTGCTCAGCCTGTCCAGGTCTCTTTTGATGACTTCCTATCCCTTGGGTGTGTTGACTGCACCCCTCAGCTTGGCATCGTCAGCAAACTTGCTGAGAGTGCATTCGAGCCACTGTTTATATCATTAAGCTCCTATTTTTTTCATATGAAACCTCCAGAATTTTTCTTCATACTATTGAATGTTTTTTTTTCTTTTAGAGCTGATGCTTTTTGCCCAGGCAGTGTATTACTCTCAGCTCCACGACAAGCACAGCAGCTTTGGCATCACTTCATTTGTGCAGTTTCACTCAGACTAGTAAGTTCTCCAAGCACCGTAACTAAGGTAATGTTCTGCAAATGTTACTACTTTACTTTTATAAAAGAAATAATATAAGTCTGCCAACTATTTAAAAGTTAATTCTTAGCTAAACAAAGTGTGCTTGTGCTTTTCTTCTTCATTAAGACCCTCTTAAGTAACCTGTTTTTTTCCTCACTGATTTGTTGATGTTTAGCACTGTCATTTGATAAGAAAAAATAGAAGCAGCTCAGGTACTCGCAGGAACTCAGTGAAAACAAACACTGCAGCGTTCATCTTGTTCTTGCTTCCAATGTTTTGAATCAGGAGCGCTACAACTGCTGCAGAGTCACTTAGGTGTAGTCAGTATAAAGCCATTACAGTGTGGAGAAAGAGAAAACATAGTGACAGATACATTTTAAGCAACTATAAATATTTCAAATATTATTTTTAAAAAAAAAAGCGTTTCTGGAAGTCTGGGAGGTGGTAATTCACGGGGCGCGGGCCCCCGCGGGGGAGGGTTGGAGGAGTGTTGACAAATTTATAGGAGCAATTCAAACAGCTAATCTTTCTCTGTCCCCCCCAACCCCCCTTTTTTTTCTTCTTTTTTCTTTTTTGGCCTCCTTGCCTTCTTTGAGCACTGGGTGTTATTTTCTGCAGCTAGGAAGGTGTACATAAAAGACAAGTGCCATGAATCAGACCATAGAAGTGCCGACAGAAGGGAACTCCCTGATCACAGCTGTCTATCAGAGTCGACTACGCCTCACCAGGCTGTTGTTGGAAGGTGGGGTCTACATCAATGAAAGTAACAATAGAGGTGAAACCCCCTTAATGATTGCCTGTAGGACAAGGCATTCAGACTCTCAGAGTGTCAGCAAGGCAAGGATGGTTAAATATCTACTGGAAAACAAGGCAGATCCAAACATCCAGGACAAATCTGGAAAGACAGCCTTGATGCATGCTTGCCTAGGAAAAGCGGGGCCTGAGGTGGTTTCTCTGCTGCTGAAAAGTGGAGCTGACCCAAGCCTACAAGATCACTCTGACTGCTCTGCGCTGGTGTACGCAATACACTCTGAAGACAGAGAGACTCTGAGAATTCTTCTCAATGCCTGTAGAGCAAGAGGAAAGGAGGTTATCATAATCACAACAGAGAAGTCTCCATCAGGAAGGCTGACAACAAAACAGTACTTAAACGTGCCTCCTCCAGAACTTGAGGTATGCCACTCTCCAGTTTCCTCCATTGCCCCATCGAAAATAGAAATGACATTATCACCCCCACTTTCAAGCTCAAATGAAACTAAAAGGGCACACTTCAGCTTCAGTGATCTGGAGCATCCCGAACACAGTGACCCTTCTCAGCTAGTTTCACCAAGAAATTCAAGTTCATCAGGCATGGGACCCAAGCTGACACATTTGCAGCAACTTCAGTCTGAGCCGTGGGTAAAGCGCTCTACTTCCTCGTTTCACCAGAATAAGATTTCCAATCTACGTGGAGAGCTCCAGGATATAACTCCAGAAGAAAAGCTCTCTTCCAAAGCCAGTGGCTTTGCCTTATCAAAGAAGTTTGTTAACAGGCTCCAAAATATTGACATAAAAGACACTGCTAATTTACTGAAAAGTGCTGCTCAAAGTAGATCAAAGAAATTATACAAGGTGATAAACACTCAGACTTGTAGTGAAGAGGAGCATCTTCCCAGTGAGATCCTTGGGGGTGAGGATGAGAATTCTAGTTTGGGACCAACCAGCTTAATTTCAAACCTACGCAGTATTATTAAAAAAAGAAGCTTAGGAGCAAATCATCACAGCGCTCATTCTCAGTTAACTACTGCTCTACATCCTGCTGCTGCAGAAGACAGTAAGTCAGTGATAGGAAAGAAGAAGTCTGTGTCTCCAACTCACTCTTTGTTTCCAAGTTCTAGAGATTTACTGGAGAAAATACCTTCTGTTCCCAGGAGAAGAAAAAATGAGACTTTTCCAGAAAGACAGGGTTCAGGAGCCTTTCTGCTGGATAACAGTGCTCGGGCAAGACCAGCTTTTCTTCCACCGCTCAATGTGAATCTGCAGCCCCCAATTCCGGATGTTAATTTCTTACATAAGAAATTACCCTAGAAACCTTATGGGCAAAAACAATACCAGCAGCACCTGCTTCCCTTAGCAAGACCAAAAATACAAAAAAGCTACAAAGGAAGCAGTCATTACAGACTTAGCAGATTAGGCAATTAGTGAATTTTTGACAGGAGATTGAAGAGTTATAAAATGTTTACAATGTGTACAGACTCACTGCTCTACCTAACTGTAAAAGATGGCAGATCTGTGATGTAGGACTCTCAGCCTCAGAATGAATTAAATGGCTTAGGTACTACATCAAAAGATATACTTACCCATCTAATGAATTAATTAAATGATGTTGCTTTCTGCAGACTGAGGAATATTTATTATATGCTCTTAATTTCAGCTTTAGCACTGAAGCCTTACCCACATCAGTCTGAATGTATGAGGGATATTAGGCGATGCAGTTCTCAGTTCTAGGTTGCAAGTTTTGCCCAAACACTGCCTTGTTTTTCCATCCAGACAAGTTGTACAAATGAAATTTGGGAACCTGGAACATTTGACTTTGATGCTGGACATGAGAGTTTTGTGATATCCAGACATTCCAGACACGAGCCTGTGCTTGAAGGGTGGGCAGTGATGGGTGCCAACAGGCAACATCCTCTTGCTTCAGTGAATTTACTGCTTGTAAACAGACAATACACAGACTATAAATGAAAACAGATGTTACAAAGCTATGCTGTATGCGTAGCTTCACTTGAGAAATTCCAGATGAAGACTGGGAATCTGCTCGATGTGCCCACTGGGAATCGGCACAGTACACAGACCTCCGAGCGCTGCAGCTGGGCATTCAGCATCTGACAGCAGTCCAGCAAGGAGCCATGAGGCCAGCAGAGTGCCTGAGTGGTGCTCTCGCTTCTCATCTAAAATGACCAAACCCTGCTTGCAGCACCAGGTAGCCACGTCCATCAACATGGGCTTCTCAGGCTGTCTGCTGGAGTTCACTGATTAAAACAAGGATGGGTGGGGGAGGTAAAGGCTCTGTCAAAATGGAGCTGTTACTTGCAGCTTCAGGCAGAACACGTGGGACCCTGTCCTCCCCATACGCGTGTTTCTTCTCTACACAAGATGCAGGTGGAGGAAGGTATCACATACCTTTCCTCGCCTGGGAGCAAGGGTGAGCTCTGTCCTGCTCTCACATATTAAAAGAAAATAATAATAATTTAAAAAATCCAACAATGGGGATATTCACCTGGGAGCTGGAAGACCTCATCTTGCCTAATTTGAAGCAAGAGTATGAGTTTGCTACAGGTCAGAAACATGCTTTGCCTCTAAGATAATTCATATATATTTTTAATCGTTTCTATCAAAGATGTGCTTTTCCTTCCTGTTTGGTGTTTTGTGGTTCCAGACATCTATCTTGCATTTGTGTATGTTCTGTAGATGATTTATGGCATCAAATCTAACACTTAATAACTTGTCTTCTAAAGCTTGAGAAGTATTTAATGTGCTCTCTTTCGCCAATATTTACCAAAAACAAACAAACAAACAAAAAAGCCATCTGTATTGGTGTCTGTATAACCTGAATTTCTGTATGGCAAAATGAGGTGCCCTTTCCTAAAAATACTGTGGGTGTTATCTGTTGTCTTCTGGATTCTGTCAAAATTCACTCTGCTCTGTTGCCTAATGAATAGCTGTATGAGTAGTGATGTTGTTTAGTCTTGCTCTTACTATAAGACAGTTTCAAGTAAATAATAAATATACAATCTCTCTGTAAATTCCTTTTGATGGAAAAATATAAAAATATATAAAAATGAATATGAATATATAAAAATATAGAACATATATAAAAAGCCCCTAATATATATTTTTTGAAGAAGGAAATTTTCGACATACAGAAATAGCATGGTTTAACATCCCTGCTCAACAACACTGAACAAAATGCACATCCAGAACTACAGATTTAAATCTTAAAATGATTTTTCGATACCAAGTCTTTTCAACCTGTAGATTATAGAGATTCTCTGAGAATTGCTCTCTGTCCAAACTCCCACACGTAACCGGAATGAGCAAAGAAGGAAACCTGTTCCACTGTAGTCAAAATTAACTCCTCCACAAAAAATATATAAGCCTTGAAAGTCACAGTGCTCACAGCTCTGCTAACCTGAGATGTGTAGCACCCTGATGCACAGTGACCCGCACAGAGTTTGACGTGGATACAGCTGTCACACTTGCTTTGTTACTTCATCAAGTATTCCTCAGTGGGTGTCTCAGAAATAACCAGTTCCGGTCACAAACACGTTGCTGGCGACAGGAATAGGGTATTTATTTGATTGCTTGTTCATCTTTCAGAGAAGGACTGTTCATCCCTTGAAAGTTCCTTACTCATTTATGGATGAGTAAGAATGGGGTAGATTTAGCTCCACGAGGTTACACAGCTGAGCAATCAGAACTGAGGCAGTTCCGAAAGTGATGTTATGTCATACTGCTAACATACTGCTAACCACTGGCACACGTGGTGAAGCTTGTGGAGAACTTGGTTCCATTCAGGTGCAGACTGGAGAACAGTGCTGTATTTCGAGAGGCATTACTGGACCAGCCTCAGCACATGCGTGGCAGAAACAAGAAAGATGAGGTGGGAAGCATGTTGTAGCAGAGAAATTATGTGGAGTAACATTAGGCAATCTTGAATTACTAACCATAAATTTAAAAATCAGTCCATATAGACACAGCGTGTATGCAACACAATGTACTTCTGAAGTGGTTTTTATGCTGTTTGTGGAAAGTGAATTCTAGTCTATTCATTTCATGATTAATGTAAGTACTGAGAGTTAAAAATATGTCTTTAAGAAATACTTTTTTCCTTTTAGAAAGTACCAGTTAATGATAAGATTTTCTACTCGTATTTTCTCTAAAAGTCTCTTTTCTGCTGTGTGGGTTTGTAATTAATCATGTATTAACTTATGCACTGCTCTCTGAAATAGTACTTTTTTAGAAGTGTTTAGAAGATGGAGAATGCCCAATGCCTTGAGAAGAGAGATCTTTCTGCCATGTTGCCAATACTTTGTGCCTAATTTTCACGCCGAAATAATGTGAAAAGTTAATGTGTTTATTGTTGCATCAGTGTTAAAAGTGACCTTAGAAGTAAAAACTGTTCAGTTGTGTTTTCTTGTTGTTGTAATGATGCATAAATAAAAGTTGGTTTTTTTCCTCTTCAGACAATGTGGAAATAGACATATCCATTTATTCGCCGTTTAGGAGATGCTGAATCACTGCCAAAGATACTGCTAAGTGTTCCTCAGGCTGTCTCTGAACTGGAAAACTGGAACAGTTTAATCAAACAGAGCTGAATTTGTACACAGTAATGTCTGAGAGAGACTCTCTCAGTAGCTTATTTTAGCAATTGAATTGAAGATACAGTTCTGCCATTCCTGAAACATCCCATCTGTTTTCCAGTTATCCTTAGGCAAAGAGTTCCCAACAGACCTGATTTATAATATTAAATTCCACCCCCCAGGCTCAAAGATTTAAAAACAACAAAACACCTTTCAGGTGTTCTTCATGCATATCGATGAAGAAAACACGAGGGGAAACCTTTTCCTTGCCTCATGTTGGCTTTTCAGGACTGTGGCTTCCCACCCAGCAGATCATCTGTTCTGTTTCACATCTGGCAGTGAAAAATTAGGGAAGCTCATTCACTCACACTTCTGAGAAGATTAATATATCAGTCCTTGAAAAGCCCTGCATTAAACTACATAAAATAAGTGATACTTCCATGAGTAAGCATTCCTGTCAATGTAAATTACAGCTCTGAGGAAAATGCATTGACTTATGAGATTGCTGGTTCTGGATCTCTGCGACAGACTTTTGCAGATCTGGTACAAATTCAGAAAGATGATTTTTTTTCCTCAATCTTTCATTTTCATCTGCAAGATACTGTGCAATACTGCGAAATGTCTTCTGTGATTGCCTCACAAAAGCAGTGATTACCTAACATCCACTGCACTTATGTATTTCATATTTTGGTTCGCTATGTACAAGAACAGCAAGTCACTACAAAAACACTGCAAAAAAGACATGTCCATGGCTGCATTTAATGTGCTGTGCTCAAAGTGCAGCTTTGAAAATATCCTTCCCTGTTCTGTTTGCTTTTACTTTTGCATTAAGGAGGAGGTTGTTTGCAGGGACTGTTTCTTTTTTGTCTTACAGCTATAGAGCAGAGGGCAGCATCTCCAAGCATTCAGTGCAGCTACATGAGAAAACTAGTAAATTAAAAGTTGCTAAAATGTAGGTTTTTTTCTTTTGTCAACACTTAATAATACCTTCATCTTTATGCATATCATGAGATACAAGTAGTCAACTTTGTTTTTTTCTTTTTTTTTTCCCCCCCTGAAATCAGATATCTGTAATTAGATTCCTTCACAAGCAAAGCATGACACCACTCGTTCACAACACCGTCCATGTAACAGGAGCACGGGTCACTAACAGAAAAGATAACATTAGTCACACAAATCATCCTGACTACATTCAAACTGTTCTCATTAGAAGATGAGTTTTTTTTCACTTTCAAATTTAAATCCAGAGTTGGAGGGAGGGATACTAAAGTACTTCACAGTATTTCTCAGCAAAGTATTTTTTCCATCAAGTTTTGCTGTTGCTGCAGGGCCTTCAAAGAGATCACTGCCAATATAAATGCATCTTAAGAAAACTCGGGTTTTCTTTGCAGAGTGAATTGGTACAAAATGCCAATTTTTATGACTAACATCTCTGATAAATGTCCCAGCTATTAATAGTTTCTAAGTCTTAGAATCCTTCAGAAAAATTGGCCTTCTTTAAAAGTATACATCCTGTTCTGCTCCTGTTGTTCAGAGATAGGACCTGTTATCTGAGATAGGTGCCTCCTCAGACAACGTTTTCAACTGAGAGGGAGCACATACGTCCCATGAACATCCCTGCTTTTTGCATTTTACACTGTAAAAACACAAGCACACTTTTTTATGTCTGACAGAATGAATAACAGAACCTGAGGGCCCTGAGTGGGGGTGCTGATAGAAGCATCTGAGCTACTTGGTGCAAAGGCTTTACACATTCCTTACAAGTATTTGTCAGAAGACAACAAAGAGGAAAGTAAATTTCTAATAATCAATCAAACTACAGGAATTAGAACTGTTCAAAAACTTATTTTGTACCTGTATTACTCCTCTGTGGTAGTCTTTACTGTGCAGAAGGTGAAATGTGCCATTAAATCTTAAAGAACCCCAAAATCTTTGTCTAAGAGGAATGCTTGGAGGTCTTACCAATCCTCCACCTCAGAGCAAGATTTGCCTCACCCCTACTGCTCACCTGCTCCTCAGAAGCAAACAAGCATCATCACTGAGTGCTGTAAACAGCACATGATTTCCCTTAAACTGGGATTTGGGAAGTGTTAACACTGCAGCACTTAAGAAAGTACCAGACTACTGTGAGCATCTGCATGAAGTCAAAACCACTGTTTCACGTTTAACCACTAGGATCTGTGGCTCTGTCCAGCACCACAATGTATTTCTAATATTAATGTAGAGGTTTTGTTCCACATAGGGAAAAAAAAAAAACAAAACATATAATTTCGTGTTCAACTGGGACTGGATTCTACTCAAAAAACACACAACAATCTTAGAGCAGTGAGTTTTTTAAAAGACTGCATACAGTCCAAGTTATTTCCAAATTTCTGAGTCCGAGTGCATGCTGATGCACTGTAATTAATTCCTGGTTTGTTTGCTTGTTTGTTTTTCCCCAAAAGGGATGAACTATCAGTTGAGCACAATCAAGCTGCCAGATGCCACCAGTTGCAGCCTTCTCTCTCAACAAGCTACTCCCTTTTATGTTTCAACAGCATCAGGAATGACAGGCAGCCAAGGCAGTGGCTATGACAGAACAACACAGAAAGACTGAAGGGAATGAAGGCAAAATATAAAGACACTGAAAACCAACAAGTAATTGCCTTGAAAATAACTATGTTCAAAATTCAGATGATTACAGAGCAAAATAATTCTCATTTTAGTGGGAACAGAACAAAAATAGTAATTTGTTATTGTGCTGCAGCAGCAGCCTAAGATCTGATGATCCCCATCAGCCTATTGCATCCACCTGCACAAGAGCTAGCAGAAGGGAACATTGACCTTCCTGCCCTAGCACAATTACAAGTAACTGCAGTGTGGAATTATTATTTTCTTCAGCCACGCTGAAAATGTAATAATGCAGTAATGACTGCCCTGCAGTGAAAACACAAGTCAGAAGTAAGAGCAGCTAGAAGAAAGTAACTTCATCTCACTTTGTTGCAAAGACATACTGAAACTCAACAACCAGAGCCCTGAAGAGAGCCAAAGAAAAGACTGATGTAACACCCCAGCATTTTATTAAGGAGTCCTTACATTTGTACATTGACCCACACAAGCTAATAGATACAAACATCATGGAGACATATTCCGTGAACCAACAATATTACAGCAACTAGAGTCAAACTAAGGAATAAGTCTACAAACATCAGAACACAACAACTATCAATACTGCTTTTCAATTAAAATTTCAAGAGCTGCAAGAGTGTATTATATTAGAAAAAACAAAAATCTTTGAATAAACATGAAGTTTAAAAAAAAAATTCTTTAAAAATGTGTCCCACACTTACTTATATCTTTTCATTAGTAGTTTTACCCCTATTAAAGCAAATATTCACTGAAAATCAAAATAAATTTTAAATAAATTGAAAGAAATCCTA